AGGTAGAGCACACCCTCTCTGTGGGACAGGAGGAAAGGATGGAACTGAGCCATGTCCTAGGTGTCTAAATGCCCAAACCACTGTGTCCACACTGGCTGAGAAACTACTCCTGTCTGCTGAGAAACTACCCTCATACAGTTTCGCTGTCATGATACTTTGCATAAGATAGAGCAGGCAGCCTTCTGTTTTCTAGTAACAATTAACAATTCCACATAGAATGTGCGAGCCAGGAGCACAGCTTTCTGAGAACTCTATGCCTCAGAGAGAAAGCCAGGCTCTTGATATGCAACCACTGTTAAACCAGTTTTGAGCTACTGAACAACTGATAGCAACCGTCACACTTACTGCAGTGATGACGTTTCCGTCATGCATGCTTACTGCCTCCTCTAGGAGTTGCAGCTTGTCCTGTAAGGAGCGGAATCGTTCCAGTGAGCAGACCTGCAGAGTGCGAACACATAAAGAGTATGTAAGGAAGGCCGCTGCCCATATTCCCTTGTCACTGCATATTGGGGGAAAGAAGCAATGAAAGGAAGTATCCAGAGAGAACCTCTACATTCACACGCTGGTCTCTGTGCTCTGTGAGCCTGCAGGTCCCACCATACCCTACCTCGTTCAATCTGATGACATGTAGGACACTGAGTCCTTCAAGTCTTGACCAAGCCAACAGATAATCACTTATTTTTTCTTCATGTGTAATTTTCATACAATAAAATTTACCCTATGCAAGTGTATGACTCAGCTTTGAAAGTGCCTACATCCTAGCCACCACAACAGAGACACAGAACACTTACATCACCCTTAAACAGCCCCTCTGTCCAAGCTGACATTAATGTCCTCCTGTTCCTAGCCCACCAAAACACCCTTCTGCTCTCAGTCACTGTAGCTTGTCTTTCCTAGAATTTCACCCAAGAAAGACTGTCACTAAATAATCAACTGACTTCCAAAAAATATACTCCCAAATTTCAGTGGGGAAAAAGTCTTTTCAACAGTGCTAACAAAGATTGGGATCTATAGTACTAAAAAAAGAAAAAGAAAAATAACCTCAACACTTATCCACACCATATACAAACTTAACTCACAATGTACGGCTCTCTTTCTGATGGGGTAAAAGCATCCAGGCTGGCCTCAAACTTGCCATGCATCTCAGGGTGGTTTTACACTTGCCATTTTCCTGCTAGCATTATAGGTGTGCTCTCCCTTACACGGCTACTCTCGTCCATCATTGTTTCCCTTTATGCTGGCAAAGCAACTCCAAACCCCAGAGAGTCAAAGACATTGCAGCTGGCTTCTAACCTTAATGGATTTGCTTTGCTTCTGAAAACTACTCCAATTCAGAAATGGGAACTGAAGAGGAAATCAAGAAATCCTTCCTTTCGCTGGGTGGTGGTGGCACATGCCTTTAATCCCAGCACTCTGGAGGCAGAAGCAGGTAGATCTCTGGGAGTTCAAGGCTAGCCTGGTCTACAGAACTAGTTCCAGGACAGCCAGGGCTACTATACAGAGAAACCTTGTCTTGAAAAACCCAAAAAGAGGGGGCTGGAGAGATGGCTCAGCGGTTAAGAGCACTGATTGTTCTTCCAGAGGTCCTGAGTTCAATTCCCAGCAACCACATGGTAGCTCACAACCACTTTGAATGAGATCTGGTGCCCTCTGCTGGCATGCAGGCAGAAGACTGTATACGCAATAAATAAATAAAATATAAAAAGAAAAAGAAAAACCTAAAAAGAAAAAAAGAAAGAAATAAAAAAGAAATCCTTCCTGTGGGAACATGCTACTCATCTTGCAAAAGAATCCTATAAGAATTTTCTCCTCAGTAGCCTTACCTTGCCACGGCGAAGGCGTCGCACTGTGTCGCTGGGGCTCCAGTCATTGCTATAATCCTGGAATATTAGCAACACATGAATCATACGTTAAGGGCTCAGAAATAGTAGTGTATCAGTTCTATGCCTCAAATTCAATCTTTGACCTATGGGAGAAATATTCTGTGGGAAAGAATTAATCAAAACAAATAAACAAATAGATAGATAGATAAAGCTGGAATGGTCCTGTTTGAGTTTCCACAGGAACTAGAGCAAGAGTGACATAAGCAGTAAGAGGTGGACCAAAGAGGGACAGACAGACCAATAACAATGCCTGCCCAGGACCTTCTGTCGACTGGTTCAGGGTTCCAAAATCTATATACAACCAGTCCCATCTGATACCCCAATAGTACCATTAGCCAAGAGATGGAGAGATATTTGACACATGGGCCCCTCCTGATCTTGGAATATCCTTTCTTCCCTTTGATTCAATTTGCTTGTTTAGTATGCTCTGTGGGAATCTGACTTCCATCATCCTAGACTACAGTGAATCATAGTTTCCCCTTTTTGGTTGGGGAATATAAGAACTTTGAACAATAAACTTAGGTGGATCCCAGTATGCACCGGATGCCCTCCCGACTCTATCTTCTGTCTTTAGTCTGTTTCTTTCTACAATCCACACTCCCTCTCTCAGGTATGGGTAAGACAAGCTATGCTGAGAGCCGGAAGAGCCCAGCAATCTTCCTGTCCCTGTCTCCTACAGCACTGAGATTATAGAAACATACATCATGTGTGGTTTTTTATGTTGCACCGAGGATCCAAATACAGGTCGTCATGCTTGCACAGCAAGCACGCATTACCAGCTGAGCCATCTCTCCAGTCCCTTTCTATTATTTGTATTATACCTTTTCAACATTTACATACACAAACATTTGTCACTATATCCCATGGGTATAGTACCACACAACCAGGTTAATATCCTAAAGTAATAGGTATAGAATACAGGTTATAGCATCTAGGTTTGTGTAAACACACCCTATGTTTGCACAAAGATGAGACGACCTAGCAACACATTTCTCAGAATGTATCCCTGTCATTCAGTGACACATGACTGTAACAGCTGCTCAGAGTTGGGGAAATTAAGCAAGATACTTTATACAGTGTAAGTGTCGTACTAGTATCAAGAAATAACTTAAGCTGGTCATGATTGCTCACAACCACTATCTCAGCACTTAAAAGACTAAGGCAGGAGAATTATCCTAAGTTCCAGACCAGCATGGACTATCTGGTGAGTGCCAGGCTCTAGTCTGGGCTACAGAGGAAGACCAGATTTAAGAAAAACAAAATGAAGGCTAGTGACATGATTTTGCCAAGAGAGGAACCTGATGCCAAACCTAATGACCCAGGGAAAAAAACCAACCAACTCCCTCAAGTTGTCCTTTGAATAACATACCTGTACCTGGTATGTGGCCAACTCACACACACACCATAAATAAATGTAATTTTAAAATTAAGTACTAGAGGGGAAAAGGAAGAAAAATTCTGTAACTCACCCTGTACTCCCCTTTAGGCCTTCCCAACTCTGGAGCATAACTTTTGGAAGGTGTGTCTGATAGAGCTGAAAAGGAACCAGAAGCCAATTTAGAGATTTTTTTCCTCCCTAGAACTCACTGCGTAGACCAGGCTGGCCTCAAACTCACAGAGATTTGCCTGCCTCTGCCTCCTGAGTGCTGGGATTAACTGCCCAGCTCTGCAGCCTGTTTCTTATCATTCTTTTCTCTCATGCTTCCTACCTACATGCAGTAGTATGTGTGTGTGTGTGTGTGTGTGTGTGTGTGTGTGTCTATGCATGTAAACATATATGCAGGTGTGTGCATGCCATACCAATAGTGGAGGTCAAGGACAACTCTGAGATCAGGGATCAAACTCAGGTCATCCAGCCATGGTGGTTTGAATAAGAATGCCCCCCATAGGCTCATATATTTGACTGCTTAGTCAACAGGGAATGGCACTATTTGAAAGAATTAGAAAGATTAAGATGTATAGCCTTGGGCTAGAGAGATGGCTCAGCTGTTAAAGGCTAGCTAGGGTCACAACCAAAAATATAAGAAGTGTAGCCTTGTTGGAGGAAGTGTGTTACTGGGGTCAGGCTTTGAGGTTTCAAAAGTCCATGCCAACCCCAGAGTCTCCCTCTGCCTATGAATCAGGATGTACTTCTCATATATTGCCCAGTGCCACACATGCTGCCATGTTTCCTGCCATGATGGTAATGGACTAAACCTCTGACACTGTCAGCCAGCTGCAATTAAATGCTTTCCTCTTACAACAGTTGCTTTCATCATGGTGTCTTTTCACGGCAATAGAACAGTCTAAGACACCAGCCAATATGTAAGTTCCTCTACCCACTGTGCTATCTACCCAATGAAACCTTAAAAAAACAAAAAACAACAACAACACAACCTTTTGTCTCCTGGGCGCCTCCATGGCCAAAGGTAGAACGGCAGCCCTGGCAGTCATCCCTGGCAATGGAGCCTGTGTGACTTCCACCTCTCACTTAGCACAGACCCTTTCTCCAGATTCAGAGGAAAGTTAATCTTCTCATCCAGTTACTGCCTGTCCCCATGACTCTCTAGGCTATACCCTAACTCAGCAACATCTTGTAGAGCAATCGAGAGAAGGGGCCAATGCTTACCATCAGAAAGGGACTGGAAACTCCCAGGTCTAGTTCTGCCTGAGGGAAAGGACACAGCAGAAAGGTGTCAACAATTCAAGTCAGACCACCCAAACTTGGCTGAAGACATGGGGCACATAGAGCCTTACTATGCAATATGGAGAAACAGGCTTTAAAAAGCTTTTATTCTGGGATGAAGAAATGGCTCAGAGTTAAGAGCACTGGCTGCCCTTCCAGAAGGCCAGGATTTTATTCCAAGCACTCACATGGTGGTTCACAACCATGTGTAACTCCAATCTGAAGGGTAGCAACACCTTCTTCTGGCCTCTGTGGCCATCAGGCATGCAAACGGTGCACAAACATACACGAAGGCAAAACACCCATACACAGAAAAAACAAAACAAAATAAAATAAATGTTTTATTCAACCTCAAAAATCTGATGTCCTAGTAAAACAAGGGTCAGAGAGAAATATTTTAAGTATGGTAAAATATACATAACATAAAATTTACCACTTTTTTTATAAGATGTAAAAATATGGAACACTTCACGAATTTGCATTTCATCCTTGCGCAGAGGCCATGCTAATCTTCTCTGTAGCATTCCAATTTAGTATGTGTGTTGCTGAAGCAAGCACAAAATTTACCACTTTTATCATCTTTAAGTGTGGAATCCATTAACATGAAGTACATTCATGCTGTCCTACAGTTGTCCTACCATTCAATTCCAGAACGTTCAGCCAGTTGCAGAAACTCTCAGCCAGTAAGTAGTAACTTTCCACCCCCTCCACCCCAGCCTGGAGGAACCTACCATTCTACCTTCTGACTCTATGAAAGGCCTGTCAACCTGAGTGGGGTGATACAGTATCTGTTCTCTAGTGGTTTACTGCACCCTGTATAATTCCCTAAGGTCCATCCCTATTATAACATGTATCTTTCATTCCCATTTAAGTAACAGTCTATTGCATCTGTATGCCATGTTTTGCTTATCCTTCTAGCCCAAAATGGACATAAACACTGTTTAGATCTTTTTGGCTATTGTGAATAAGGCTTCTTTGAATATTAGCATAAAAACATCTGCTCAAGTGCCTGCATTCAGTTCTTTTGTTAATTACCTAGAAGTGATACTGGTTCACATTGGTTCACATGCTAATCCTGTGTTCAACTTTCTTAGAAACTGTCATACTAACTTCCACAGTGGCTGCACAACTACACATTTACACCAGGGACACACAAAGGCTCCCTAGAGGATGGCATAAAAGGTGAGGAGGACTACTAATCTAGGTAAATTCCTTCAGTACATGACATAGGGCTGACAATTTCATTCGTGTTCTACAAATCCAGGCTAATGCCTGGGAATTTCTCATTCCTTCCATTCCTAGTACTGAGCTGCCTGCTCAAATGAGAATTCCACAGTCAATGAAAACATCAGAGTATTTTCCAGATGAAAGCAGGACCGTATCTGTCCCTTACCCACCACTCTTTACCTTTAAAGAAGCTGCTCAGGGAGTAGGTAGAAGTAGGTTTGGGTAGCTGTGTGTAGAAACTGTTTCGGCCCTTTAGCTGTTCACGCCCTTCAGGGGTTGACCCGCTATTCCCAGCAGTCTCTTTGATGGACCATGAGATACCTACAGGATGGTAAGAACTAAGTAAGCCTCACCCAGATCAGTCCTTGACACCCAGCATTCAACAAAAATAGGCCCTTGTCCCTTGGCCAGCAGGAGGCCCAAAAAGATATAACCAAGTATGCTAATCATTAGCGAAATTGACCAAGGGATGGATAAATGGAAGGAGATCCAAACAGCCTTCAGATACATGGAAAGATGTTCTGCCTCTTGATTCTTGAGCAATTATTAAGGTAACTAATTTAACAGATCAGGCTGGGTGTTGGTGGCGCACGCCTTTAATCCCAGCACTTGGGAGGCAGAGGCAGGTGGATCTCTGTGAGTTCGAGGCCAGCCTGGTCTACTGAGCGAGTTCCAGGACAGCCTCCAAAGCCACAGAGAAACCCTGTCTGGAAAAACCAAAAAAAAAAAAAAAAAAATTTAACAGATCAGGTATGCATTGGGGCTTTTTTTTTTCTAGTTCACTTTTTTTTTTTTTTTTTTGAGACAGGTAGCCCTGGCTGTCCTGGAACTTGCTTTGTAGACCAGGCTGCCCTCAAACTCAAGAGATCTGGCTACCTCTACCTCTTAAGTGCTGAGATTCAAGGCATGCACCTCCATGCCTAGCCAATCCTTTCTTTGTTTTTTAAATCATGCTTTACTACCCAAAATGTCTATGAAGAAACTAAGTGGCATTTTATAATTAAAACATGTTGTTAAGGGCTGTAGTTCTGCCAACATGTTATGACTTAGCAACTCATTTATTTAAGTTAACAGCTCCCAAATATGACCACATTGGCCTAGGAATCTGCAATGTTAATCAGCATCCTTGAGTCTGAAGTAGCCATCCAGGCATTCACTCCCAGAAGTCACGTATGCATCACTATTGTATTTCTCCACAGGCTCTGGCTGCTGTTAACTTCTAGGCTGCAGCACTGGAGAAGAGCAGGGCTATTTCTGACCAGCACCTAGGCAGAGACAGGTACAGCCTTCATTACTGACAAGAAGCCCTCACAGGGCCACTTCGGCTTACTTCCCACAGGTTCTCCAGTCCAGCTGACCCGCTCCAGATCATCGTCATCATCGTCATCCACAAAGTCTCGAAGGCTATTCACTGCCCGTTTGGATTCCTTTAACTGTAGAGGAACATAAAGTAATAGTAGTCTGGCAGTCCTCACATCCCTCCTGTCTCACTGACAACCGAGAAGCCTGAGCTATAGGACTCAATGATTGCCAATAACTATCTGTAGTCTAAATCCCACCCAGAAATCAATTTGCATTGTAGACACCACTGCAGTCAGTGAAATATTCAATGTCACTACTTTTGAATTCTAATGATATTCTAACTATGATTTGTTTGCAAATCTGGATGAATATTATTCACTTCTCCAAAAATGACTATTCCTAAACAGGTCATTTTTCAAACTCAAGTTTTCAAGGTACAATGGTGTACCTAGTTCCAACTGCCAGGAAGACAAAAACAGGAAGATGGCTTGAGCCCAAGAATTTGAGATTCCATCTCAAAAATAACAATGATATAAACTGGGTGTGGTAGTACATGACTATAACGCCAGCACTCATGAGATGGAGACAGCTGTAATAAAAGAAAAAAATTTGGTTAAAAAAAAAACCTAGGCATGGTAGATTTAGCAGCACACCTTTAATCCCAGCACTGGAAGATCTCTGTGAGTTTGGGGTCAGCTAGGGTTATATGGTGAGACCCTGTGAAAGAAAGATGAAGCGAAAAAGAGGAGAGAAACTGAAAAACAGGAACCTATAAGATGGCTCAGCAAGTAAAGGCATTTGCCACCAAGCCTGATGACGTGAGTTCAATCCTCAGGACCCACATGGCAGAAGGAGGGAACAGACTCCTATAAGCTGTCCTCTGGTCTCAACACACAAACAGAGGCTCATGTGCACCCTCACACATAAATACATATAATAAAGACTCTTTAAAAATGAAAAAAGGGGCCAGGTGGTGGTGGTGCACACCTTTAATCCCAGCACTCGGGAGGCAGAGGCAGGTGGATCTCTGAGTTTGAGGCCAGCCTGGTCTACAGAGCGAGTTCCAGAACAGCCAGAGCTATTACACAGAGAAACCCTGTCTCAAAAAAAAAAAAAAAAAAAAAAAAAAAAAAGTGAAAAAGGAGACAGAGGAAGGAAGATCAGAAGTTCAAGGTCTTCATCAACTATCTATTAAGTTTGAAGTCAGCCTTGGTTACCTGAGACCCTGTTCAAAGAAAAAAAAAAAGATAGCAATAACAACCACAGATTATATCACATGAATAAAAAATGTGTGTGGTGTGTGTTTTTAAGGTAATAGTAAGAAGGATAAAGTTAGCTTTTATAATCTTTCTGGCTCTTTTTTAAGGGCTTCTCTCCATGAAGGTTGCTCTATTTGTATCTGTTTCTAATTTTAGTGTATGTGCACACGTGTGTATCATTTGTATGTACAGGTGTGCCATTCCACTGCACGAGAAGGACAGGTGGTGCTGACTTACGTCAATTTGACACAAGTTAGAGGCACTTAGGGAGAGGGAAACTCAACTGAGAAAATGCCCCTACCAGACTGGCCTGTGGCCAGTGCCACCCTGGGCTGGAGGTCCTGGACGCTACAGGAAAGCTGGGTAAGCAAGCCAGTAAGCAGCACTCCTCTGCTTCAGTTTCTGCCTCCAGGTTCTGGCCCTGATTTCCCTCAGTGATGGAGTATGACCAGAGAGTTGTATGTTGAAATAAGTCATATCCTCCCTAAGTTCTTTTGGTAATTGTTTTTGTCACAGCAACAGAAAAAGCAAGGCAACTTTAAGGAGTCAGTTCTGGAGACTAAACTCAAGTTACCAGGCTGTGGCAAGCGTCTTTACTGGCTGAGTCATCTCATCTCATAGGCCACTATTAATTTGGATTTTGAAGGTCCCCAAAAGGCCTCTATAGTTTGGTCTTCAGGGATGCCCTAGGAGGAGGCGGCAGAATCTGAGAAGTGGAGCTCAGTAGGAGATCCTTGGGCCATTGGAAGGCTGTTCACAAAGGGGATTGTGGGACCCCAAGGTGTCCTATTTCTCTTTGCTTTCTGGTCATGAGGTAAGCAGTTTCGTTCTAGCATGTGATGCACCATGATGTGATTCCTATCCCAGGTCCAAAGCACAAAGCTAACCACCGGTAATGTAAGCCTTGAAAACTGAGCTTTTTCTCTGGATCAGCTGGGTGTTCACGGGAGGGTAGAAAGCTGACTAACACACCGAAGATCTACCTGACATTATGAGCATACTGGAGATGAGGAGAAATTTTAGAGAGGCATCAGAAGTTAGGTATAATTCTTCGCACTTGTGGATATCTACCTGTGAGAGCTCATCATCTTCATCATCAAACGTGAAAGCCTTGAACTTGGAGCTGTTCCAATATTCCTCCTCATCCCCCTTTGTCCGGTTCATCTGGAGGGAAAGGAAGATAGGCATGGATCTCTTTCGGGTCTCACCAAAAAATGTTATATTACTAACTGCTCCCAGAAATAAGGGATGTAAAAAAAAGAATCTGGTAGAGTCCGACTCGTCAGATCATGTTACATGCCCCAATTAGACAAAAACATTCATTCCTAGAACCCCTATTGTGTTCAAATACTCGTGGGTGTTTGTTATGAGAACTATAAAGTGCAGGACATCCTACCTCTTGAAGGATCACATTAGAGCGAGGTTACCCAAGCAAAGAGGATGATGCTATAAGAGTGGCAAATGCTCTAAGGAGTTGTCATCTTTTATCGAACATAAAAAAGATCAGCCGAAGCTCACCCCAAATGGGACAAGTGAATTCATTTACTAACGTATTTACCAAGTGCCACCTCTGAGAAACTCTTCTAAGTTCTGGGAACACTATAGTTGGTCATTGTCAACAAATGTCCTTCTCTCGCTGTATGCTCTTTCAGTACCTGCCATAAATGAAGGGAAAACAACTAAAATAATCAGAATTATCTTGTCTACATCATCAACTCATGATTATTTTGGCCAATTGTGGGTCCAATTTTTGGGATCATGACCAAGGAA